TATATATATATATATATATATACACACACACACACATATATATATAAAATTTGCTTTACAGGGAAATTTTTCAGGGTTTAAGAGAATATGTGATTGGTAGTGTGAGACACACAGAATGTTTATAATGAAAATGCATTTTCTTTTTTCTTTACATTTAAATTTCTTTATAGTTTAAATATATGTCTTGAGATGGCACATTCCTAAGATTGAAGAAGGGGTCTTGAGATTCCCCTAAACTTGCATACGCAGTTTTTTGGATATTGTAATAAAAAAGTATTATGACAAGACTATGTGTACGTCTATCTTTGGCAAAACTCTGACATAGTTAAGAGTATAACCACTGCAACATTTACTAAACATTCTCTGCCGAAAGGGAGAAATTTTAGAGAACCATTTAAGAAATTTATTACTTGTATGCTTTCTTTTTCTACCACCACATTTTTGTATGTTGAAATAATAAATTTTAATTAGTGAAATTCCATGAGAAACCAGAATCTCAAGCTTGGTCTTCACTTTTTAAAAATTTTTAAATACTCTTTTACCAAACTCTTGTTATCCAGAGTTCTTGCATTTCATTTGTCTCTCCTCACCAATGTCTTACTTTTATTTGTTCAATCAGTAAGCATTTCCTGAGCAATCAATTATGTGCCAGACACTGGAAATACAGTCACATAACAAATGCACAGTGTCCTTTTGGGCTTATCAGAGCCAACACTCACTGAGTGCTCCCTGTGGCACCATCACAACCACATGAGAGTAGGTCCCATTATCATCCTCATTTCACAGATGAAGAAAGTGAGGTACAAAGTAAATGCACAAGGATATGCAGTTAGTAAATGTTAGAGCAAGGATGTAAACTTGGAGGACCTGGGCCTAGGGCCCATGCCCAAAACCCTCACCTTGCTGCCTGTTGAGAATTAACTCCTTCATTCCTATTTCCTTTGATTTAATTAATTGTATTCTTTTTATTTTCTTTGATTATAATAAATAAAATTGGTCTCTGAGAACTGAAATTGAGGGCACTCAAGTTATATAAGAATAAACACCCAGGTTTTGTAGTGAGGCTAGTCATCACTCTATACAAAATAATATTTTATCCATGGAGAATACAATTCCTTCTGTTTCAGGTTTTCTGTATTAGGTTTTGACCTCAGTCTAGAATCACTGTAAAGAATGAGTATCTGGAGAGCTGAAATACACGTAGTCATTCAGGAAGAAACCAGCAATTAAAGGACAGAAGATGGATACATATTTTGGCTTCAGGAACTTCTTTAAGGTTTGCAGTTGTAATTGACAATTATTTTCAGTCTCACCATAAACTGTGACAGTCCTCCAGCTCTCTTGGGTAGATCAGGACTATCTTTCATTAAGGAAACAGCACCACAGTGGACCCTAGGAGAGGGGATTGAGAGCCCAAGTGTACATCTGTCTGTAGATCAGGAGCCTGCAGACAGCGCCCCCACATGATTTGGAGTGTGTACCGTGACGCTCTGGCCTGGTGCTGTGTCTTCCATGAGAACCTTTGCATGTCCAAAGATTTCCAGAACATCTCCCTGCTTTGCTGTTGCCATTGCCTCTGCACAGACAGCAAAGGACAGTAAAGGTTAGTTATTCTGTAGTTGGGTAACATTTGTTTGCACTTAAATCTGCCTTCATTTTACATAAATAGTGTGACATATGGGCACCCCACTGAGTTATAGTGCGTAACTACTAACCCCTTCACAAGTGGTATGTGGCCAAATCCAAATATGATTAAATGATGTTTCTCAGGAGCTGAAACTGACAAGTCATTTTTCCCAAAGTATATCGCAAATTAAAATCAAATTAGAATCTATAACTACTGGAACTCTGACATTTCCAAACAAACATTTTTCATGCCAATATTATTTTATCTTTCATTGTTGTGTGTAACTGATTTTTTAATCTCCTTTTCTAATACCCTGTTGGCCCAATGCTGGAATAATTTCTTTAAGACCAAAGTTCAGAACTGAAAGAGAAATTGGAAAACATTTGTTCAATATATGAATTTTCAATAAATATAGATTTAGTTTTGACCTTCTTCTCACTAGAATCTAACATTACTTGTTGTATTATTAGTATATAATTAGTATAATTAATATGGTTGTTTCAGTTCTAACACCTTTCCAGGTGCTACCTGCTCTTCCATGAAGTGGCATCCATTCAGCCACAGACATTGGAGCACCTGCTAAGAGCCTAACATGATAGCGCTGCCAGGTTCTCTATTAGTAGTTATGTGATTTCAAGCAAATTATATAAGCTCCACGACTGTTTGTTTATTATGCTTGGCTGCCAAGTGAAAACTTGGAGGTTCAAGTCCATACAGGGACTCCTTGTAAGAAAGGGCTGGCGATCCAGATAATCAGCCATTGAAACCTTGTGGAGCGCGGTTCTGCTCTGACACAAAAAAAGGGTCACCATGAGTCAGAATTGACTCCGTGGCACCTGGCAACAACCCACCTGTGTAATTCACAGAGTTGTGTGAGGATTCATTGGTGTAATACATGTGGAAATGCTTTGTGTGAGTGCTATACAATGATCAGTGCTAATCAGAGCCTGCTATGTGTTACATGATCTACTTGACATTCTTCTGCACTTGTTGGAACTCATCTGTATCTCATTCACTATGGGAATTCCTCAGATGACCCCAACCTGCAGAGCTCTGGCCCAGTCAAGTCAGGGTGTTCCTTAACTAGCAGTCCTAGAGCCAGCCTTCCCCTGCTTTCTTCAATTTTGACAGTGTTTGATAGATTTCTTCCACAAACTGCTGATTCTAATGTGTGGTCCATCTTCATTAGCAGTCAGAAACTGAAAGCCATTCTCAGCACTCAGATTTTTACCTGAGGTGGTTGCCAAAGTCACATCCCTAAAAATAGGCTTCTTTTGGTGAGGAGGACAATTTTTTCTCCATGGGTAGAGGGAACCCTCTGTGTTTCCTGTGAGTAACTCCTTATGTTGTTCAGCCTGAGTCTGACAACACAATAGATACTGAGTATTCAACAAAATTTTGGGGAAAAAAAGCATCCAGAAAACTTTTTTCTCAACAGATGGTGTTCCCACTGCTCTGAGGAAACTGGCCATTGCTGTTCTAAATAAAGTTCACTCAGACATTTAATTCCAGCTATTAAAAAGTACTCCTTCAAACAAATCTAGGGCCATTTGAAGGACTAGGACCCAGACAAGATGAAACAATATAAAAGGGATGCTGGGATTTGCATCAAAATCACCTGGGTGGGGGTTCATCAGGAATAAAATCGACTAAAGGTAACTGGAGGCAGGAGGAGAATGGAAAGGGCGATAAGTTAGTTGCTGAAGGTTCAGTAATGGTTGTTGCTGTGGTTATGTAGTTGTTCAGTGCCGTCAAGTAGGTTCTTATTCATAGCGACCCTGTGTATAACAGGACAAATCGTTCTGTACCATCCTTACAGTCGTTGCCACGTTTGAGTCATCATTTTAGCCACTGTGCAAATCCAGTCCATCCCTTTTTCACTGACCCTCCACTTTACCAAGCATGATCTCCTTCTCCAGAGACTGGTCACTTCCATGATCACATACATGATCAAAGTATGAGACGAAGTCTGGCCATTCTCACTTCTAAAGAACATTCTGGCTGTACTTCCTGCAAGACAGATTTGTTCGTTCTAGCTGTCCATGGTTCCTTCAGTATTTTTGGCAAACACCACAATTCAAACGTATACATTTTTCTCTAGTCTTCCTTACACACTGTCCAGCTCTCATACGCATATGAAGCTATTGAAATTACCATGGCTTGGGTCAGGTGCACCTTGGTCTTCTAAGTGAAATCTTTGCTCTTAAATGGTTTAAAAAAGTGTTTGCAGCAGATTTGCCCAATGCAATATGTCGTTTGATTTTTTTAAAAATTTTTATTGTGA